GAGCAATTCCCACTACCCGGCAGGTCGTGTGAGTCCCTCTTTGGACCCTCGGACCGCTGGGGCGACCTGGGGTCAGGAGGGCAATGTGACTGAGAAATGGCATGAACCCAAGTGTCAAGGCAGGCCACCCCCCGGGCCACACCGATGTTCAGGGCCCTCAATAATGACAGCAGTTGGGGGTCCCAGAGAGGTCACGTGGCTGGCCCCAAGGGATGGGGCTTCGGCAAAACCAGGGACAAGGAGGGAAGGAGACGGGCAGGAAGGCGGGGAGGGAGGAGGGCCAGGAAGCTTCCGCATGAGCCCAGGTGAGGACGAGGCACGCCACCTCCTCCCTCCCCTGGCAGAACCAATGGCCGTGCCTCCCTGGCCCAGGGGCGCCCCAGCCTGGACGCCCCCTGGCCCTGCCCCCACCCCCTACAGACCAGCAACAGACACATTCACAGCCTGCCAGCTGACACGCAAAGGCGTCCAGGACTGCTGTGCTTGGCTGCGGGCCATTCCCGGCCAGGTGTGTTTGGAGTGAGCCGCGGGGGCCAGGTGACCAGGGAGAAGCACAATTCTTGAAGAGCAGCTTCATTTCTCAGATCCCGGTGCCCAGGCCCTTGGCGGCCTGCGGTGCCTGATCCCTGACCCTCCCCTGTCTTCTCTTGAGCGAGTCTGAGCGCCTATTTCTTTTTACCTCTGAGAACCTTCTGAGGCTCCATTTCCGCAGGGGAGGACACTGAGGGCCAAGGAGATGAATGTACGCAACGCACGCTCAGGCGCTCCTAACGGAAAGTCCCCTAAAAACAGGACCAAAGCTGCGAGTGCCGTGCCTTGCGGCCAGTTCTCTGCCCCAGGAATGAAAGGCCTTCTCTCCACCGCCTGCCCACCCGCCCTCCAGTGCGGCGAGCCCAGTCCACTTCACATAATGAACTAACAAAGGGGGGAAACGCCAGCCCCAGGGACCGGAAAACCCGGGCTTTCTGATTACATTGGACATTTCTTTGTAAGTCTGAGCAGGTTTCAGTGAGAGACTGGAAGGCTCTTAAAATAAACAATGGTGGACTCTTTCTTCACTCACACCTTTTATCTCCAAAGCCTCAAGAATGTTAAAAATTTCTCCGCATCCTGCTCTAATAAGCGTGAAGAGGCAAGGCCGGCGATGAGGCCCAAACGCGCGGCTCTTCGGGACGCCAACGCCCCCGTTTGTCTGGCGTGTGGCGGGGTGGCTGGGGGCCGGCTCAGGTTGCCGGTCTGACCGCAGGCCCCAGGCCTCACTCCTGGGGGGCTGGCAACCTCCCGCCTTCAACGGCGGCCCTTTATTCACTGAAGCGGTAACAGGTGACAGATTTTAATGCAAAGGTTCTGAAAGGGGCTGTGTAATGTCTTGGGTTCACGCAGGGCTGTGGGGTTCCCCTCCCCGGGTCCTTGGGGGGTGGTCAGGCCTGGGGACCACAAAGGGATTCTACAGCGGATCCGACCACAAATTCCCAACCCGATGGGCCAGGGTGGATAGTCGTGCCCACGACCCAGGACTTCTGAGTGGCTTTATCTTTGCCTGAAGCAAGCCCTGTCCATTGTTTCGGTGCATCTAGGTTAGCACGCCTTTGAAACAAGCCGCAGCCAGCAGCCAGCAGCCAGCCTCGAGAGAGCTCGGAATCTTTCAGGCCCTCCGGTAACTCAATCTCGCCTGGCTTTCTCCCACGCCGCCCTGTAATCCTCCTTAGGGTCCTTCTTTAATTCCAAATGTATAAAAGAAGCTGCAAACTGTCATTCTCAGTAAGCGTTTTGCTCAGTCTGTCGAGATCTTGCTTCCAGGAGTGTCCTTTGTTTGGCTCCAATACGTTTTTATCCAAGTTCACTACAGGTCTGGACGTCCCAAGAGGAGCCCACACATGGCAGGTGCGGAATCGGTGCTTTTGGGTCACCTGGCTAGGGACAGTCCCTGCAGGCCTGGATGTCTCGGTGTCAAGGACGCTGGCCTTAGCTGCTCTGTCCCAAGGACATCTGAAAGTCGGGATCGCCCCGACACAGACCAGAGCCCTAGTCAAACCTCAAAAGTGGCGCCAAGGAAGGAGGGAAGAGGGTGCTGGAAGGTTTATTCACGCGTGGGATTGGGCGTTCCCCGGGGTCATGGGCGTGGAGAACCCCAAGATAGCACTGGTTATACAGCACTGAACGCGCTGAACGCCAGCGGAGGTGACTGCCGAATGGTTCACTGGGTGTCAGTGAAACTCACAGTCAGAAACGTCTGGAGATCCCCGGTCTGAAAAATAACCCCAGAAGAGCCAACGTCTGTCAGCGATTCTCCATGTGACCCAGACAGAGGGCGCCCCCTCAAAGAGGGGACAAGTCCAGGTAGCCGACGGGGCCCTCCTCTGAGATCAGCCAACTCATTTCTTAATTCCATCCTTGACGTTCAAGTCAATGGATGGTTCTAAGAGAAATGGATTTCACCGGTTTATTTTTACCCTAATAATCAGCGGTGCGGCTCACGTTTGTGGCTCGTACGACATCTGCGCTGGCTGGTGCTGGCCTTGCGCCCGCCGCCCCAGGTGAGGGAGGCCGCAAGGGAGCAGCGGCTTGGGGCGCACAGACATGGGCCCCAGGCCTGGCCTTTCTCCTCACTAATAATGGCCTTCCGCTCCTGAACTCTCTGAGCCTCCTCCCCTCTCTGTGACGTGTCCCAGGCTGGAGCAGACACGACAGGCTGAGGGTGCCCCGCTGAAGTGCCCTGAGCCGGAGAGCCGTGGAGACAGGCCGGGCTCCCCTCACCGAGCGCCGCCCCGAGGCGCTATTGGGCCAAGTTCCACTACGCCCAGTGACGCCAGCCATTCGCACTGGTCTGGGTGTGAAGGGCACTGGGGGGACGTCCCCTCTTCCCTGTGCCCTCCCTCGGCCCATCAGCTCGGGCAGCAGCGTCCACATGCACCTAATAAACTCTTTCTGACGATGATCACTACAGGTCAAGGTCCGGACCCCGAGCTGCAGGAATTAACATGCAAATCACAGAACGAGGCACCGGCAAAGCCTGGACGTAGAAATTGAAACCCCCCGGGAAGCTCCATCTCAGAGTGAACTTGAGACAAATCAGATCTTGAATATTAAGAAGCACAGAGAAAACACGCAGTTATGTTTCGGGGTGGGGGGGAAGGCCACAAAACGTGGTCGAATGTGTCAAGACACTGCTTTTGCCACGGCCAGTGATGGTGACTTTAAATGCTGGGGCACAGGCCCCCTCTGGCATCTCCCAGGCAGGTGAAGGTACGCCTCCCTCTCCAGGCTCCCCGGCGTCCTTTATGCCGGGACGGGGACAGAGGGCAGGCGCTGGCCCGTCTCCAGGAGGCCAGGCTGGTCTCCTTCTCTTGTTTTCTCTTCCCAGATATCTCGCTCTCATAAGCCTGGCTTGGCGCCAGAAAAAGCAAACCACGTCAATGACACCCAGGGAACTGCAGGGAGGGGGCCCAGGCAGGACCCCCGTTCACCTCCTTCCGTCCAGCCCCGGAGGGGGCCTGCTCCAGGCAAGCTGTGCCCCGGGCTCAAAGGGGAGGCCACGTGGGCCCACACAGGAAGCCGCGGAGCACAGCCCACTGGTATCTCTCCAGTTTATCTAGAGAGAAGCACCGCGCTGCATACTTGTGTTTGATTTCAAAAACCCCAGCACCATGCTGCATACTTGTGTTTGATTTCAAAAACCCCAGCACCCGGGCCAATACCAGGCCCAAAGAATGCTAGGAATGTGGATGCCTTTCTCTGGGTCTCGCCGCCACCCAAACAGACCGCAGCCTCCGGGCCAGGGGGCCGCACTTATAAGGCAAGACCTGCAGGAGGCTGCTCCAGCGGCCAAAGTATTTTAAATCTCCGAGACCTCCGGGCCGCTGAGGACTGGCCCTGGGACCGGAACACGTGGAATTCTTCCCTAATCAAAGCCCCAGGTTCTCCCCTGAGGACATCCCAAACATTCTTTCTGGCCTAAAGCACTGGTCAGTCCTGGCGAACAAAGACCCTTGAAGACAAAGAAAGTGGGGACTGGGGAAAGTTGGGACAAAATACAGTCTTCTCGCCCCTCCCCCAGCAGAGGACTGGGTGATGAAAGACAATCCTGAAATAACTCCAGCAGCTCCCTCTTGACTCAGAGCGGCTGTCACGGCTCAAACGTGGGCCTCGAGGAAGCAGCCCAGAGCGGCTCCGCCTCCCAGCTCCTCGCTGCCCAGCTTTATGCAAATGTCCATATTAACTCCGTCCACAATCCTTTCACCTGGGAGGAAAGGCTCTTTGTGGTTGTTCTAAACACAGGAAGGCTGCAGCCTCTGATGCTGAGGATCTCGCGTAACCGACTTCACAAAGGGCGGTTTCCTTCTATCGCCGAGAGAACAGCCAGAGCAGCCAAGAAAAGAGCCGAGAACCTTCTACCAGGATAGCATTTACTCTTTCCTATCTGCTGCGGGTGCCAACGGCCTCCAGTTATTCCTCATGAGCACTGCTAGTGCGTCCTTTGAACATTTCTGCTCTTGTAGTCCAAGGACAAACACTGTCCCAGCGGCCAGCGGGGGCCCCGGAACGGCGGGGCCTCCTGGGCTCCCTGGGCTTCCATCGCGTCACCGCTGGCCATTGTCTGGGGGCGCGCACCCTCTTACGTTATAAGAATAGTCCATTGTGTGAACACAACAGGGCAGCCAACTTGCGCTTCGCCCGGTTCTGGGTAGAGCAAGAACATTTGGGGAAGCTGCAGAAAGTAAACAGAAACGAGGGGCTGTTCTGGGAACTGTGGCGTCAGGTGCACCGGGCGACACCTGACCTTTCCGTGAAGACAAGGGCCGTGCGGGAGACGGTTGCAGCGCCGTGAAAGGCCAGGGGCCATTGGAAGCTTCCGGAAGGTGCTTCTCCCCCTGGAGCTGCTCTGCATGTGCATGGGGCTCACCTCCCCACACACGTCTGTGCACCTCGGTCAGGACACAGCGGCCTCCACGCAGCAGGCCCAGGTGCGGCGACCCACCCTGTGCGCATGCACTGCTTACCTGCAACAGGCCACCAGCTCCTGACGTCAGAGGCGGCGTCCTGGGACCCGGCCCTCCATCCCGAGAAGAAGGGAGAAGCTGCAAGACAAGACAACGAGGGAACCGTGACTAGGATTCAGGCGCACTCAGCTCAACGCCCCGCGTCTCCGCTTTCCCGCCAAGGCTCGTCTGGAGCAGCTACACGCACGTGGGCAGGCAAGGACGGGGTGGACACGGCGAGGTGGCGCCCACGTGCCCGTTCTGTCCCACCTGCAGGACCCTCTCCTAGAACCGCCCTCCGGGACCCCCACAGGGGGAAACGGCGGACCCGCACTGCTCCCAGCTGCGGAGGACGCTCAGGGAAGGGCCTCCCGGGCGGAGCTCCCGGGTCTCCGAGGGCTTCGCTGAGACTGCAGGGCAGCCCCTCGGGCCCCCATGGGCGTCCAGCACCCTGACTGCCCACCCCCCAGGGAGCCCCGACAGGGACAAGGGCTCTTCCTGCTATTCCTGCCCCAGTGGCGCGCCTCCCCTCGCCTGCCGCTCCGTCCGCTGCACACACTGGCGCTGTCAGCGCAACCGAAGAGCCGTATGAGCTGACCCCCAAACACATCCCGTCACCTTCCAGCAGCAGCGGGGCTTCCTCCCCACAGGGCAGGGTCACGAGGCGGCGGCTCAAGTCGCAGGGCGCAGACACGGTTAAGTGCAGAGCCCACGTCGGTGACAGATCCCTAAACAAGGTCGACAGCGACAAGAGGGGAGACGCACGGAAGGTCACCCACCCCGCAGTCCCCTCCAAGCTCCTTGCACCCAGGCTGATGTCCTGCACGGGATCCCAGGGGGGCTCTGGACTTCCGAGGGGCCCCAGGCCTGGTGAGGCTGGGACACGGGAGGCAGGAATTCCGCTCTGGACACCTTCCCTGAATCAAGGCCACCGGGCTTGCAACAGGGGCGCCAGGACGGCCCCTCCTCCATGTAAATATTTCACATGCAATTAAATCGAGCACCGTGACGCGAGAAGACAAGGATGATCCCCCGCTGAGGTGGGACAGCGGGCTGGTTTCCAGGCCGCCATTCCCCCCGCCCCCTCCCCGGGGCTTCGACAGTAAAATGATCCCAGCTGCACAGAAAGGCGGGAGGGCGGGAGGGAAGGAAATGGCCCAGAGGGCTGCACCGTGTCGCACGGACACAGTAAATCCTGCGGTCCACGCAGGCCTTCCAAAGGTACAGCGATGCGAGCAATCCCGCGCGCGGAGCGGAGCTGCATCCCAGCTGGGGAACCCCGCGGGGAAGGTGGCAACGTGAGGAAACACATCCCGACGGGACAAAAGACGATTTCTTGAAGGAGGTGGGAAAATGGGGGCTGGGGAGAGATGCTCAGGACACGGGACACAGGGGCCGCTGTCCACCCATCGCCTTTTATTTCGGACGCCCGCCGTGTTGCTCACAGGTTTTCAGAAGATTCGGGAGGTTCTGCCCACTTCGGAATATGCCTCACAGTGCTCGCAGGAGCCCGAAGGTTCCTGCCAGGACAGGGCTGTTGAGAACCTCCTCCCGTTAAAAGGGGGAAAAGGAACTGAAAAGGCACCAGAGGAAGTGAAACTGAACAGCAGGGGCCTCTCCAAAGCAGATTTATGGGTGCTTTTCTGCAGCCCCAGTCTCCAGTGTTTCCAGTTTATTCGACAGTGAGTGTGCGCTTTTTTCCCTGGACTTTCCAAAGGGACTCCCCCCAAGTCAGCAGGCCAGCCTGACAGCTGGGTGCCTCCTTTCCTTCCTACCCCGACCCCCTGCGTCTGGGCTGGCGAGGCCACCGAGCCCCCCGCAAAGAGCGCGTCCTCTGGAGCACCCACCCCACCCGCGGCCCGAAATGGGCGGCAGCGGCCACCCCGCTGCAGACAGACCGCGGCCCGTCTGCATTCCCGCGGCTGCCGGGCTTCCCCCTTCACCAAGGGCGCTTCCTGGCCGGCACCCTCGTTCACGGCTGCCTGACGCGCCCAGTCCCTGGGCGTCTGCGGTCGGGCCCTGCACGCTCTCTGGGGCTCTTCACTGGTTCCTGCCAGGACTGGTGGACAGAGGGCTTTCCTTGCAGCCCAGGCCTGAAGCTGAGCTGTGCCTCCTCCCGGGACCCCTGGCAGGGCGCCGGGTGGGGGGTCCCGGTAAACTCGCACCCCATGCCCGACGTGGGCAGACCCAGAGCTGCCTGACCAGGCTGACCCGGAGACAGCAAGACGGCATGCCGGACTTTGGGCAGGGACGGGGCACAGGTGGAGCCCTCCGACACCCTGGCATTGGTGTGGGGGCGGGGCAGGGGTTTGGCTGCGAGCGGTCTTGCCGGTGAGGCCCGGCACGTGTGGATCTGGCGGGCAGGGCCGGCTGCCATTTCCACCTCCCCCGCTCCTTGCCCTATCGCTCCGAGAGCCCCAGGTTTCCGCACATGCCAGCTTTTCCGATAGGCAAGCAGGCACGATCTCCCCAATGACCTCTTCTCCCGAGGGGGCCTCCATGTACCGTGTGGGTCCCTGTGCCCTCCCAAACCATGCAGGATTTAGTGCGCGATCCTCAAGTCTGCATCAAGTCCCAAAGGCCGCAAGACGCCAACTTCCTCACTGTGTGTGTCTGGGTGCGTCAAGGAACGTTGATGCCGTCATTAGACCAGATTTGGGGGAAGTCTCCGAGAGCCACAGAGCTGTCGAGAGGCAATGCCGCGAAGACAAGACTCTGTCACCTCAGGGGTCTCCAGAACAAGTGTCCTCTACATCCAGTGACAACAGCTGCGGCGCCGCATGTGCATCTCTCAGAAGCGGCTCTAGCAACAGCTTACAGCCCCAGCCGGTGACGCAACTGCAGAGAGTCTGTCAAGGCTCGGAGGGTAAACCAACAATGAGAGGTTCACAGACCTTAGAAAACTAGTCACGCAAAGACAAATGACGACTCTGTCCCAAATTCTCATCCTCTGACAGTCACCAACAAGACACCCTTCTCCTCTGCTATAGATGGAATTCTGCCTCCCACAATCGTATGTGGGAGTCCGGACCCTTGGGACCTCAAAATGCAACCTTATTTGGAGATGGGGTCTTTGCGGAGGTAGCAAAGTTAAAACGACGTCATGGGGCGGGGGGGCCTTAATCCAAGTCGACTGGTGTCTTTACAGAAGGGTTTGAAACCTGGAGGTCGACTCACGCAGGGAGACGCCACTGGGCCTTGAAGGCAGGAACCACCCCGGGGTGGGGGGACGCCTGGCACAGTCCCCTCCAGCCCCGGAAGGAGCCAGCGCTGCCGACGCGCGACCTCAGACTTCCAGCTTCCACTCCCGTGAGACTGGAAGCCTCTGCCGTTTAAGCCGCCTAACCTGCGGTCCTTGTTAGGGTGGACCTGGCACATCGGCCCACCCTCACTGCAAAATGGAAAAACGGATTCTCCTGCCTGGCCCGACCTGGGGGCCGCCGCGCCAGCGATGGGTATAAAGAGGCTCCGAACACGCCTCACCTACAGGTGGACCCGTGCCAGCCCCACCAGGAGCGGGTCCTCGTGGCTGGGCCCCGTCTCTCAGGGCAGGGCCCGCACAGTTTCCCGATGCCAGCGAGCTCCCCGAACTCCATCCTCGGTTCTGACGCCCTTAGAACGGGCTCAGGGGCCCGATCCGCTCACTCGCCCAGCACAGTTCTTCACGGGTAGAGGTGAAACAATGCAGGATGGCTTTGGGCCAGTGGAAGGCTGCGGGGCCTATTCCTTAGGATTCCAAGCTCCTGTGACGGACGCGTACGGATCCAGTGGCCAAAGGGTCCCCAGACCCTGCACCTGCTCGGTCAGGGCTGGAGTCTCCCCAGGGCAGGAAGGGGCTCTCCTCGCCCCCAGCCCATGCCCGGCAGCGCCACGGGAGAATGGGAAAGTGGAACCTCGTAAATCCTTGCCCTGTTCGAGAAGCAAGCTTGGGCCTGTGTGGCCAATCCAGTGTGTCACTGGGTCCTTGTACAGCCCACGAACGAAGGCTGTTTTAACTTTTTTAAATAGTTGGGGAGAAACGCAAAATAAGAACAGTATTTCGTGATGTGAAAATTTTATGAAATTCAGCAGTGTCCCTAAGTTATCCTATGACAGGGCCACGCCCATGTGTTCACACTCTGTCCACAGTCCTTTCGTGCATCCAAGGACAGAGGGACTGTATGGCCCACAAAGCTGAAAATATTCACCATCCGGCCTCTTCTAGGAAAAGCACACCGACCGCACGCTCTACCAGGCCTGCGGCAGACAGCCCAGCCCAGGCCAGGCCACGCGGGCACAGCACATGGGCACGCATCCACGGCGCGTGGCTGGAACCAAAGTCCTGGCCGCGGGAGCAGACGCATGAGAGGCAGCACCAGGGAAGGAAAGGAAACGCCGGGAAGGTGTCAGGGGTGACTAGGCACGGAGACAGACGTGGCCTCAAAGGCAGACTTCACCAAGTCCAAACTGTCCTCTCGAGCTGGCTCCCCGGCCAAGAGGGAAGGCAGTGCCGGCCTCGGCACACGGGCCCCCGCCGCCACGCTCCGTAAGGATCCACCTATGCAAAGCGTGCTCCAGACAAGCCTGGATGTCATGGCCTGGCCACAGACCCTAAGTTTTTCACGGCTCACGGTGGGAACTCGAAGAAAGCCAATTCACAAAGTCGAGACGGTAATGCTTGAGAAGACGGGCACAGCCTTTATATTTAATGCTATCAAAGCCAACGGCACAGGAACAGCTCAGGAAAACAGCGTTTCAGGATGCGGTGGATGTTACAGCCAAGCCAGAGTGTCTGACATGCCCCGCGCCTCCCCCACCGCCGCGCCCCCCGTCCAGTGGTGAAACTTTCTTACGCAAAACACGGGGCTGGTTCGCTCTCTCCCCAAGTGACGTAACACCTCACGTTGGCCCACGGATGTGAGGAGGCACAGCCTCCCCTCTGCCCTCCTGTGCTGACTGTGCACACAAAGGGGGGACTCGCCGAGAGCCAGCCAGACGCCCGCCACGGCTTCGCTGTGCATGTCCACAACCTCGCCATACCTGCGGGCTCCCACCTGGGACCCGCCACCCACCAAGTCAGTGGCTTGGCTCCCCGTGCAGCTGGCGTTTCTGACCGCCTT